TGCTCTAGGTAAACTGACTTGCCAGCATGCTTTGACAAATCTGGACGACCGTATCGGGATTCCTCTCGACAAGCAGAAACTGCCTGCCATGATAACGGTATAGTCCTTCGTGATGCTTCAGCCTCCAGGTTACCTTCGGGATGACCTACATGTTGGCAAAATTCTGCTACTTCCCCCCTGTGTGTTGGTCGCTCTGATACCCCCTCTGCACACGACGCCGCGTGTGATGTTGGCGGACCTATTTCGACGGCGTTTCTTCAAGTTTTAGGGTGTTGCAGTGCCGCGGCTGCGTCGGAGGCAAATCCTAGATAGTGTGCATAGCTGTGGCCATGAAGAATAATGCATGAACATGGAACCGTCTGTGAGGTGTTTTCCGAGTTTTCCATGGCAGCCGATCAGTTACCCTGCAGATATCGTCGGAAGGAGAAAGAAAGTGAAAGCTTGCTAGTGTCGACCAAGTGCTGGGCCCGTCATCCCTGTCATGCAGGTCGCGACCACAAAGCAACTCGAAATCCCGGGACTGAAGCACGCCAATTCGCTCCTTCCCTAAGCCACCAAAACCCCGCTTTCTTGGAATACATCGAGGCCGTAAAGTCGCCCGCTCGGGCCTATGACTCATGGATCTCCCCATTACATCCAGGGCAAGAGCTTCTGAGTGCAGCACTCAGTTGAGAACCTCAAAGAAATCTGCCGAAACATCACCAACTACTATGTCGATGTTCCATCTGGGTCGCCCATTTCAATCGCGATGGCCTCCATATACACCCCATTGCGGGATGCGAGACGCGAAATCCGACTGCTGAACCTCGAGCCTCATTTGGACAATACGTTCGCACCCATCGACATCCGATTGGAAACCGCGAATCTTTGGCAGGCCGCTGAATACACCTGCCTGTCTTACAGATGGGGCGACGCAACAGACACGAAGTCGGTCATCGTGGACGGCCATGACTTCCCAGTTCGAACCAACCTCCACGATGCGCTGAAACGACTGCGACTTCGCGATGAACCTCGGCGACTTTGGATCGACGCCATCTGCATCAATCAGGACGACAACTCTGAGCGCGCGGCCCAAGTAGGGGCGATGCAGTATATCTTTCAGAACGCTACCGACGTGATTGCCTGGATTGGGGAAGAGGAGGGCGGCCCCCATGGACGACCTGTCACTCAACGAGCCGCTGATTTCGTTCGGGAGCTGAGCTTCTGGGGGCGCAGACTCCTAAAGAGCAACGAAGAGTCCAATGTAGACGATGAAATACTGGACTGGATTAGATCCGTCACGCCCCCCGGGTTGGTCGGCAGCCCTTGGCGGGATTTTCTCGCTCTGATCGAACGCCCTTGGTTTTCCCGCATCTGGATCGTCCAGGAAGTTGCCGTCGCCAAGGCAGTGACCGTTTGGTGTGGAAGTCATCGGTGGGATTGGGTGGACTTCCTGCGGTGTGGTTTGCTCTTCCGTAAGTGCGGGTTCGTTGTAATGGGGTGTGCAGCACCTCGGTGGCTGCGGCACGGCGAGCCAGAGACATGGAAATCCATGTTCGCCGAAGGGATAGGAGGCCGACTTGTTGAAGCTGTTTTCAAGATCGACTCTATCGGCAGATTGAATGCACGACAGCGGTTTCGAAGACAAGGTTTCGAGTCGCTTCGCTGGTCGATGAAGGAAACCGGCATAGACATTAGCTGCAAGCCCGGCATCAGCGAGAGCTGGTTCGCTGCATTTCGTCATCCGCATACTTTTGACGACCAACCGAGTTCGCTGAGCAAGGACAACGCGTTACCCAGAGAGACCTTTTACCATCTGGTCAAGCGATTTCGGAAATTCGAAGCAACGGATCCACGCGACAAGGTCTACGCTTTGATTGGTATCGCGGACTCGGTGGAGTACGTTCTGGACGCCCAACACCGTAACCTGCCACACATCTCCTACGCACGGGAGGTCGGCGTCTTCGACGTCATGTGGGACCTCATAACAACGGAAATATTGCATCACCGGAGCCTCCACTTCCTCGGCGATGCATGTCGAATCCAAAGACCAGAGGGCTTTCCGTCGTGGATGCCGCTCTGGTATGATAACGAGAGCCATCTTCAGTCCACCGCCTTACCGTTCGAGGGTGCTCAACTTATCCCCGAGATCATATACAGAGCGGGGACAGGTTTGAGCTTAGCCGCATTACCAATGAAGAAGACCAGGACGTTATATTTGGGCGCTGTTTGCTTCAGTCAAATCGTGGAGCTCGGGGTAGTATACAACCGCGACCTCACCGAACTTGATGAAGTTATCTGGTTACACAAGTGGGCCTCGATGCGAGGTATCACGACAGTAGAAGAATACGACCTCCTGACTGATCTGAAACACAAAAACCGCGTATCTGTCCAAGAGGCCGAGAAGAGGCTACGCCAATACAGCGGAAATGGCTGCCTAGGACCGGGAGGCCCGCACAGACGGTTCTTCGCCACCATTTTGGCTTCGGCATCATACAAAGCGATCGACTGCTTCTGTGACGAAGATGTCGACAAGTACGCAAAAGACAAGTGGGAACACTACGCTAAAGCGAGGATAGCCAACGTCTGTCATGGAAGGAGAATGTTCAACTCCGGTGCTGGCTTGCGAGCTGGAGGCGGCAGGATTCCGGCCAACTTTGGCTTGTGTCCCAGGGAGACAAGAGTGGGTGACTTTCTTGTCTTGTTTGCAGGGGCCAAGACGCCACATGTTATCCGCATGCTGGGCGAAAGGGACGAGAACGGGAAGCATGTTTTTGGACTGGTTGGAGAGGCCTATGTTCACAATTGGATGAGAGGACAGATGGGGCAGGGCTTGAGAGGTGACGAGGAGCTGTTCATGTTTCCGTTGCGCTGACCCATTTTTGCCGAGCCGTCGCCATAGTTCCTGGACACACCAGCAGCCCGAATCTGAGGTAGATTGGTGCAAAGGAGTCGTTGCAGTACGAAAACACGTCCGGCTAAAGATCACTGGGTCACAACAGGCAGCAACACAAGGTGACTCGGACCCGGGACATCCCGCCGCCGTTGGTTCGCAGATCGCAGCCAAGCCCCGCTCCTCGATACGACGCTGAAACCACGAATGCTGACAGTCAACTTCAACCTCCACAACAAACCTCAGCGCCATTTGCATCGTCCCAAACTCGCACAAAATGGCCTCTGGAATCTTCTCCAATCCAAACTATACCACCGCTCTTCGCCTCGCACCCCTCATCACCTCTTCCGCAACCGTCACCTTCGTCGGCAACCAGCAATGGATCTTTGAGCTCTTCACCCGTCCCGAGCTCGTCGCGCAGGGAAGCAAGACGTTTCTCCCTCCTTGGTTCAGTAAAGCCTTTTGCATCGGGATGCCCAAGGTCGTGGGGCTAGTAACATTCACTGCGATCGGGGCGGTGTTGAACTTGCATAGTTCGCCGAGGGGGGCTCAGAGGTGGTATGCTGCTGGTGCGGTGCTGAGTGCAGCGCACCTGCTGTTTGTACCGGCCTTGGTGGGTAGGGCGAAGGGGGTTGTTGAGGATACAGAAGAAGAGGGGAGGTGTCTAGGGGAGATGAAGGGGTGGTTGAGGGTGAACGCCGTGAGGGCGTCGACGGTGGATGTTGGGGCGTGGATTTGTTGTCTGGTTGCTGCCGTGAAGAGTCTGAGGCCAGTTTAGCTGTGGCTTTGGAAAACTACTTGATGAGACGCAGCACCCGATCCCCCCCCCCCTCCTCCGGGCCTGTCTGTAATTCTACACTGCTTCTGAAGGCCCAGCCTCCGTCCTATCATGCTGTTCCTCCGCCCGAGATGTCGGCATCACAGAGCGAGTGCGCCTGACCTCCTCGCAGTCATCTGGATTCCGATGAAAAGTTGCCCCCAAGCTTTCCAGCAACGCGCAATGCTCTTCCATCGTTTTAACGACCGGCAAGTCCTTCCTTGACAAGGCCTCGCTGTTCCGAAGCACCCACACGCCTCCCGACTCCGGCCAGCCGAATGAGACCCCATACACGTTTTTGGTCGGCTTTGGGAGTGTCTCTGCAAACTTGAGGAGATCTGCCTTTGACATGTTCTGGAGACGCTTGGAGAGTTCTTCCTTTTCCTGCTCTGTCTTTGGACGAGTGAAGCTGCTGTTCTCGGATGTTGACATGTTGCTCAGTAGTACGGTTCTAGGTGTGCCACCGTGACTGTTGACGTGTATCGGGCTTGTAGGGGGCGATTGAGAGTATTTTGTTTTCTTGAGGGCGAGAGGTGGTATTGTATAGTGGGGTTTGACCCGTATCTGAGAGGTGAGGAAAGCAACCTGGACCACAAGCGCTGTGTTGTTGAAGGGAAAAAAGGTAGGAAGCCACATGGAGAGCTGAAGCCATATATGTCTTCGCCAATGAGGTAGGGCAGGTCCCACCCCTCTCACGTAATGGGATTTGGATTTCTGGGCACCAGGGGTTCAGGGGCAAGTGACTCAGAGACCGGGTGCTGCCTGGAGGGTTTCGGCCGCCCACCAACGTCCAACACGCCATGCGTCCAAGATTGGAAATGCAGGTCGGCCATCGTCTCTGTCCAGTCCTCAAATCCGCATGGGCGACAAAATAAGCCTCAATTGAACACTCAGGCTCTTCAATTCATTTGCCAAACAGAGATGGCCTCAAGTCACGGCGACTCCCCGCGCAATAATATGGGCAATCAAGTTCCCGAAGCGACACCGTCGAGAGTCGCGTTCATGATTCACTAAAATTTAGGCCTTTTGATTGAAAGCAGCGCCACTTTTTGCCTTGCCTTGTGCCATGAAATGAACCAAAGCCCTCCCAGGCTTCTAGGTCGTAGATAACGACTGTCAACCATTCCATGACCAGTGCGGGAGACTGACAAGCTTGTAAATCATCCAAGGCCATGCCAAGAGCCACAGCATACTTTGGTATCGGCAATCTGCAAGGAGTGGGCGTCGAGTTGCCATCCTTTTTTGACGGCGCCACAATCGGGCCCCCCTACTTAACCAGAAATTTAAGTCCGCTAATCAAAAAGAGCCACAGGGCGGGTAGCGTAGTGGTCAGCGTGTTCCTAAGCGTTGTCAGCGTTGGTTTAAAGCGTTCAGCGAGAGTCCTGGGTTCGAATCCCAGCCCGCCCGAGCTTCTGTTTTTTTTGCGCCTTTTTGCCTCTGTGACCACAGCAGAGCATGGAGATCACTGCCCCGTTGCTAGGTTGCGATCCGCCAAAGAGAGCGGACACTGGAAAAGACGTAGAATAATGGGTGGAGGTTCAAACATATGAGTGTGCGGGGAGGGGGACTCTATCGCCAGGGCAACGCCGGGCTTGCGGCGTCTGTGTTTTTTCGTATTGTCTTCATTTGGTCGCGTCACGTCCAAGATCGTTACATGAAAGCTCATGTTGCGTCGCCTCCTTCCCCTCCTTCCCCGTCACCACCAATGACGCCTCTAACATGCCCTAGATTCTGAAAAACCCTTTCCATCTTGAGCAACGTCTCAATCTTCTGAAGTGCTTCTTTCTGCCTCTCTGCTCTCGTGTACTCGACGAAAAGCGGAACCGCTCTCGGCGGCCACCGAAGCCTTCTGTCCCCCGCTGTCCTCTCAAGCGCCACCCTCAACCGCTCCTCATCCCACGCCTCAAAGACCGCACAAATCTGCATCAAATACGCTTTCATCAGCGCCTCATTTCCATACAAAAAGGTAACCTCCGCGCCGCAGTTCATCACACTTCGAAATCGTTCCGCATCCTGGAACCACGGATGATCGATCATCGCCAGGAACCCTTCGAGCGTTGCGTCCTCGAGGGCGCTCCGTGGATATTCGCAAAGTCCACAGAACCAGTCTACCGCGCTCTCTAGGCCGTAGTGCCATATTGACAAGATCAAAGTGTTGACGACGGATACGCCGAAGTTGGCAAGGGGGGATTCTCCGAGGCAGACAAGAACGCGGCGGGCATTCTGTAGCATTATTTCGGAAGTCTCCTTCTCGAGGGCTTGTTCGTCGTCATCGGCGGGATTCACGCACAGTGCGTCGATCCAGACGAGATGAGGGCTGAAGAAGTAGGTAAGACGGGTTAACAGGGCGTGCATTTCGGATGGGATGGTGTGGCGCTGGTTGTTTAGGACGATGGGAAAGTAAGAGGTATTGTCTGGTTTCAAAGTTGGGGTGAAAGAGACAACTTCGTAGGGTGGAATGCCGGTGCTGTCCTCCACGTTGTAGACGACGAGGGTGGCGGTTGGGAGGGAGAGGAATGTCCGTCTCTTGATCTCTAGAAGTCGGACTTGCGAGGTTGGAGAGATTGGAGAGTAGGCAAATGGGGACAACTCATCGTAAGGTTGCCGTTCGAGTAGGCGTGCGATGCGTTTGTTCATTGCCAGCCGACGCTTGTAGACGAGAAGGGAGTCCCCTGCGCGGTACAGGGCACTGCGTATGGTGATAACGGGCCGGCCAGAAGAATATTCGTTTCTGATGCTCCATGTGTAGTTTTCGATGCGGTATTTCGCCCGCTGAACCGCGACGTCGGCAATTTCTCCGAGAACAGCCATAAGGACCAACATGACTAGGGACAAGACAACTCCCAAGAGCAAATGCGCCCATACAAAAGCCAGGACACGAAGTAAGAACAGAATGAGGGGAATGATGATGCGAAGAGAAACCAGAGCGCCGAAATAGGAAACAAAGGCCACAATTGCCTTGTCTAGAGATGTGACATCAAGCAGGGCACGGGTATATTCATGGGGATCCGAAGTCGCGACCGCCGTGAGCCAGGCAAGCAGAGCACTGGTGTGGAACGGTCGCACAAAACAAAAGGTGACAATGGTTGTCAAGAATGACGTTCTCCACAAAAACTGCATCAGGATTGCATGAAGAACAGAAACCCAACAATGCCCGGAAATGGTTGCCCAGGAAAAGGGGGGGCGATGCTCGTACAGCATGTCAGGCATGGTGGCGATAAGGGGCGGAGGCTTGTCGACGACATGCTTCCGAATAGGTGGTGGGATGAAGTTCACTGATGCTGTTCTGGGCTTTCAGCCGCAATCCTACCGTGACATTAGCGTGAAGGGGTTTTTCGAACAAGCCCTCTGATTGGGCGATGGTGCCTCAGGAGGCGGGGTTGCGCTTTCCTCCACATCGCGTCCGTCTGGCTCACCCGCAGGTGCGCTCGAGATCCGGTCAGGAGCTGGACACTTGCCGCACTGAGCGGACCCGAAGGTCGATCGCTGGAGCCGACACTTCCTCGTTGTTATGGCCGACGAAACGGATGCGCTCGAGAATGCAGCGTTCGTGCTCCTGTCAACGACTTTCGCACTTGCACTCGCAACCACCAAGGCCATTCTACCAGTGCCGCTCTTTGCTTACCATGTCGTGCTCGCAATTTCCCGCGCCACCTACCATCTCATCTACCAACTGACGTACTCCCCACGCCGCGCAACATTCGCCTCCGGACATCTCGACAATGCTCCCAGCGCCAAGGACGACCTCCCGGATCATGATCTCTACGATTACACCCCGCTCCCTGGCGAGCGATCCATCCGCCTGCTCGAGATCAAACATCCAAATCCATGAGGTTCGAGGCCGATTCCAACATACTCGAGTGCAACCTCGTTCATGTTTCCCTCGACAAGCCGATGATCGCTTGTCCCTACCGCGCCATCTCGTACACTTGGGACAACCAGGAGCGCGATCGCTACATCTTGTGTGGCGGAAAGAAGCTGGCTGTCACCAAGAATTGCGAGCTCGTCCTCCAGCACTTCATGCAATATGCTCGCCTTTACCTCTGGATTGACGCCATCTGCATCGACCAGGAATCGGCTGAGGAGAAGGCCATGCAGATACCGCTCATGGCCGAGATATATGGACGAGCCCTGGGCGTCAACGTCTGGCTGGGACTGCCCACCGGGGCGACAGGGTTGGCCATCAGCTATGTCTGGCTTTCCTGGTGCCTCATGTCGGTTCCGTCCAGATTAAAGAATTGGATCGAGATTAGACTTCACCGGCTTGCCAGGGAACGAGGTCATATCGCGCACATCGACGACTTGGTCCGTCGTAACTGGTGGCGCCGTGTCTGGACTATTCAAGAGTGTGTTCTCGCGCGAGAGTCAGGATGGACAGCTCCTGTTCCGGTATTTGTCAATTGCGGCCACTACGAAATCCCAATGGACTGCCTGAGCCATTTGCTGATGCAGTTTAACATCTTTCACCGCCTCTTCAGCAACAGTCCGTACGTCTTCAACACCTCGATCTGGAACCACTACATGTTGTCACACAGCCAGCCCAGGTTGCGCGTCTACGACCCTGATTCGGAGAAGGACAGCATATCGAGAGAAATCACAACTGCCATGTTTCGGTGCAGGGCCAGCTCCGTGTTCGACGACAGGGATAGGATCTATGGCCTCTATGGCGTCTTTACCAGGCATGGGATCACACTGTCCAGACCAGATTACGCCAAGTCCAAGGAGGAGCTGTACGAAGAGTTCACCCGTGAGGTCTGCCAATCAACACAGTCACTCGATCTCCTCTGTCTCGTCGACAACGCCGACCCAGACCTTCCAGGCCCAAGCTGGGTCCCTGATTTCTCGTCCCCTTTTCGTCTTGGTGACATGTGGTTGCACCGAAAGGACAAACCAGACACCTCCCCCCAGGCTGACACTGCATCGAACTTCTCCTTCCACCCAGACGGCAAAAGCCTCCGCTGCACAGCTATCCTTATCGACAAGGTCGCCTACAAGACCGGCATGAACATCTGGAAGCCCGCTGACCACGACGCAATACTCCGCCACCAAGACGGAGACCTCATCAACCTCCAGGACGACACCCACTCAACGCAAACCACCCTCGCCTTCATGCAATGGTTCTACCTTTTCATGACATACATGGATGCGCTGTCAAAACGCTGCGAAACAAAGGAAAACGCGCTGCTAGCCTTCGGCAACGTCCTCACTACCGGGCACCTGCGAAACCTTGACACCCTCATCACCCTGACCAACCCCCTCCAGACTGTCAGCTCATGGATCAGCGCTGTCATGGATGCCAAGTACCGAGACGAGCTGTTTGACAGCCTGGTGGACGACCCGGGTGTGAGCCCGGAGGTGAGGGGTTACATCCGCGATCAGCTTGCTCAAAGAAGGGGGGAAGTGGATGATTCGTGGAAGACGCTCTGCGTGTTATGGCATAGGAAGGGATAAGAGACAGATCATTGTACTGTCCAATATTGGCGAGGTTTACGCATACCGTGTGGATGCACAGTGAGGATAAAGTGCTGTTTGTGACAGAGGGGGGGTGGCTTGGCAGTGGGAATATGTCGCTGAGTGAGGGGGATGCTGTGTTTCAGCTGGCGGGACTGGATAGGCCGATGCTGCTGAGGCAAGCGGATGATGGGTGGAAGGTTGTCGGGTCGGCGTTTGTGGAGGGGGTGATGGATGGGGAGGTGTGGTGTGAGGGAGAAGCTGAGGAGATTTTGATTGTGTGATGGGATGATGGATTGTTGGGACCTGGTAAGTGCATTTCCCTGACCTTAATTCATCAAAACCGCAGCATCTCGCCGTCGCTGTAACTTCCGGCATTGCGCTCGACTCATACTGACGTTCCGCGCAGGGCGCCAGCATCTCGGCTGCTGTTGCCATCCCACCCTGTGTTGTTTCTTAGCTCTTGGATATAACACAGGTCATCCTTTTCGTTGATGGATTCGACCAATACAGTGGGGACGAAAAGAGGCTTGTGGAGTTGATCGACTCGAAAGACCTCATTACCATCAGCGGAGTATCCCGAAACTTCAAGATTTGTCTATCTTGTCGGCTGGACCCGCCGTTCTCGACCCGATTCCACCACGGCCTTGATCGCTCTGACTGTGGACGAGATGCGGGTTTAACCACGTGATTTGCCGTAAGCAATATAACCACTTCAGTTGGGCTGAAAATCGGGGTTGCCGTCTTCAACAGCCAAGGCATGCATTGTCAACTCCACCGTCATCATGCGCCTCTTAGAGACTTCGTCCCTCGCATTTGAGGAGTACAATGATCTGTCTCTTATCCCTTCCTATGCCATTCTTTCTCACACCTGGGATAAAGAAGTCACATTCGATGACATGAATGGCGATCGAGAATCCCTCAGACGTCGCCAAGGCTTTCAGAAGGTTACAAAC